GCTGGTATTACTTACGTTATTCATTTTTCTCAACGATAAAACAGGTTTTCCATTTGGAGTAAAGTTTTAAAAATAAAATAATAAAGCAAAAAATAAAAACACCGTGAACTCATTCCCGCCGTTCCAAAGAAAAGCATTTTCCTCTGTTTGTGCCAATTGTAAAAACATAAAGCAACCATAAGCATGAAACAGGTAAGCATTGTAGAAGTCTTATACAACTTTTATTCGTAATGTTTTGAAACAGTTCAATAAAGCTTCGTATAGTTGATCAACCGCATACCAGAAACTGTAACAGTAGAAAGTAATGTTTCTTTTCAGTCCATTACATTCCATAAACCATAACAAAACTATTTTGTATAAAGTTAAGATATATAGTAAGGTGTCAGTGAAGTTTGAACTGTTCTAGAAATGGTTCTTTTCTATGTGGGTTGGCACTGATGAATTCTGCAAGTAGTAGACGAAGTAGGAAAGCAATTAAAACGGAATTCAAAAGGAAATAAATCAATGCACTCAAAAAGCCCTTAAAAGGATTCCGTTTAGAGGTATGACAAAATTAAAAGATTAAATTTAGTTAGCAAATTTCACTAGTAAATTCAATATTTTCTCTCAGAGCACGTTATATCAATAATTTCATTAGCGTCTGCCTGTATATCATTGTTAATTTGTCCTAATAATAATTTTCCACATGGAAAAACATGTCCCCGAGGGATTTTGAAAAATACGTCCCACCCTAGCGTAACATCGTTAGACATGATTTAAATCATATCATACCTGTGATATAGATGTAGCTCTCCATCGTTTAAATTTGTTGCTTTTACTGATATGTTGTTAGCACATTTTGTGCGCATTTTGGTTTACGCGGTGGTTGTTCAGTTGTTGCGTTAGTGGCGTTTTCAACTCAAATGAGAGCCATGTTGTAAGTTACGTATTTATAAGTTTAGAGTACTTTTATGATTTTATATAGTTTTAAGCTCTGTGATTTAGGGTCCCCAAAACCACTCTTTTCTTTCCCAATTTTGAATTTGTGCCAAGAGCTCAAGAGCTGACGAAATGTCGAGCCGCCTTAGTGACCTGAATGGGTCTGATCCGCTCAGCCAGATGAGCTGTTTTTCCCACCTCTAGTGCTCTAGTATATATTGAATTCAGTCCAGAAGGCATTGATCAAAAGTCCTTTTCAACTCTCTACCGAGATCAATTTTTGTCCGTAGCTGTGCAAATTGTAGATACAAACATTTGAAAATATCAATTTATTGTATTGATCCCCCTATTGTGAGATCTAACCCTTCTTACTAAAATAAACTGGCCACTGGGGATACCCGAAACATGTCGACATGTGGCCAGGGTGGTGATGGGTACTCCAAATGATTTCCATTGCACTGGTTTTTGAATTCTCATGTGATTCGATGTGCTACATGATAGGTTTTATTCGTTTCAGGTTAGATATAGTCTCAAGGCTGTACAATCTGGATCATGTGCCGGCCACATCTCCGGAACAAGCTGACCGATTCCAAAACCATTCAATAGTATTTCATGGAACCATGAAACCTTTCATTTGGTGGTTATTGCATTCAATTCGATGCAGTGGTTGCCGAAAAACACGTCTCAGATCAAAATCGTCACACACACATACACACAGAAACGGCGCCGGTGGTGTAGTGGTAAGCGTGATTACCTCTCACCCCAGCAGGCCTGGGTTCAATCCCAGTCGGCGCCGCCGGGATGTTCTGAGGCATAACATCTCTGATCACGCCTTCCTTCGGATGGGAAGTAAAGCCGTTGGTCCCCGGTTCATGAGTTGATGGGTCGATAGGTAGGGTCCAGGTGTGGGAGCTGCCTTCCTGGCACGTCGGTAGCATTGGTGCTCAGCACGGAAAACAAGATCGACGGAAAAAACAAACGAAAGAAAAAAAAAAAACACATACACACAGACCTCTCAGGCAATCCGATATGGCATCGGCCAACGGAACAGGTACTGTGACATCATGAAGGACGAGAACTTGCGACCGGAAGTGGCAATGGGCGACCTTGGATCAAAACACAAAAGATCGATTTTTTTGGTTCGATTAATCGATTATTTAAATCGATCTCTAACACGACAAAAATCGACTGGATTGATTCTTCTCATTCGATTTTTGTTTCGGTCAGTGATTTTGCATTTGCAATTTAATATTGACTTTTTTTGTATTCACATTTCCACATCACTTGCTTTGAACATGGATTCTGCAAACAACCAGTGTGATAGTTTAGTAGGCAAGAACGAAAAAAAGAAAGTTTGGGGCTCCAGAGACGTTTATATACCTTTTTGACGTTTAATTGTCTTTCTCTATCTAGCACCTATGGATGAATGGACGGTTTGTTTTCCCGTTAATCTGTTTCCTTCTTGCTCACGCTCATTCGATTTAAATGGTGCAGTAGTGTTTGTTTCATATGTTAATCTTTCGTTTTTTAAATCGTTCATTTAATACCAATAAAACGAATATTATAACCTGTTAAATCACTCGCGTAATCAAGTATCCTGAGTAAAAACTTCCACATGTCAAATGAAATCAGAATAGTAATTTACTATATTCTCATCATGTATGTATGTCACACTTATAACTTTTACTGCGTACGTACTACACAATGTATGTCTAAATGATATAAATCATCACAATTAATTACTATTATAAGTGAAATGTCATAACAAGTTAGCTTATGTAACGTAATATCAACTTTAGACTGAACTTGGCGTTAATCTGCACCATCTTTCCTATGCTCCGTCATATTTGAAAAAAATTGTGCTATTTTGAAAAATGAATCAATTCAAAAGATCGATTCAAAAAGATCGATTATTTTCAAAAAAAAAAATTAATCGATTCACTAAGATCGATTCTTGCCTCACGATCGTCCAATGCTACTCCGTACACGAAAAAAAAAAATCCGTTCCAAAATTCGTCAAGCTTAAGTCACGATTTTCGGAACAAGACACTTTTTCGTTAAGGGAAGTACACCATGAATAAAAATCATGAAATCGTGAATATTGTTCCGCATAATAAAAGTAACGCCTGCGTTACGTTGCACCGGGCCCCAGCAAAGGCAAAAAAAAAAGTCATAAAAACGTGAACTCTGTTCCGAAGATCATGATTTTCTTCTTGTAAACGTGATGAAAGTTCATCAGTTGTGACGCCGATAATGACCATGCATCAGAAGACTAGAGTAACCACTTCAAACTAGGGAACAACAAATACCGTATGCGTGATAATGTTTGCACCATTGAGCAATGTTAAAATTTTAAAAAATTCTCAAAAATTTCGTTTTCGAGTTTTTTTTTATTTATTCAAAGGGAGGATGTTTCTCAGAGTCTTAAAGTATGTTAATCATCGATCGAGTTTCCACTTACTGCAATTACGGCCTCCACACGCTTCCGGAATGCACGGCAGGTTCTAATAATGTAGTCTGGATCAATTTCTCTCCAGGTAATCCAGCTGTTCATTGATCCACGGAAGAACATACTTACTTAAAATCCCGATGTAGACCTTTGTGTTGACCTTGTCGCCTTCTGGAATGAACACCGGGTCCATTTTTTTGCCATCGGAAGCCACCAATCCAAACAACATAACGCTAGCAGGATGCTTGGTCAGATACACGTTCTTGTGCTCGTCGGCCACGTCTTTTACCGGAAGAGAACTAATATACCGGTCGGTTCTGGAATTTGATACAGGATCGACGGTAAACATGCTCTCGTCGGTGAACAGGATTACCGGATTTTTTCGCTTAAGGAAGTTCAACTAGGCAACTAGGCCTAAAAAGTTAAAAGGACTAAGATGTTTTCCTTTGATAACTGTAAAATCCTGTTCCCCTAGTTTGAAGTAGTCAGGCCTAGGAATCGGTTGTAGATCTTACATCCCGTAACGTACCACGAAAAGCTGATCTACCCACGTTACGGGGAATAAGTTTTTCTAGAAAACATTGTGCTCTAAAAAAATAGGACCTCAGTAACGATATCTCCATCCATGAAGTTGGATTCTTCAAGTTGAACTTGGCGGTGGAATTTCAATAAGGAACGGACTTTCGGAGAACATCAATATTATGGCGTAATTGCTTTTGTAATCAAACACATCATTTGCCAATTTCTCGCAAATTAAAGCTAAATCTAACAAATTAACAGGTAGAAGAATAGTTCCTCTATCATTTGGTATAGTTTGCTCGCGATATTGAGCTTGTATTCGTGAGAAATCGGCGATTGACGTGTTTGTTTACAAAAGCAATTACGCCCAAATCGCAAAGTTCTCCGGAATTTATATTTGGTGCTAATGGAGGAAAATCATTCCTCACGAAAGGGAAAGGAGGCTGGCGGGCCCGTTGGTAGTAATTTGATTTTCCCTTTCCCTTTTCAATTTTTGTGGAGGGCTAAAATAATTAATTTAATTATTTAATAAAATAAACACTAAAATCGTGATTGCACGAAATGCCTTCGTACATGTAACGATAACCAGAAACACAATTTATTTTATAAACAAAATTTTCGTTATTCTTTGTATTATGTTCGTACAGTATATACACAGCAAAAAATAATTTTGATATCACATCAAAGTGGATTCACTTCAATCGTGTCAAAAATATGGTGTAACGTGCCAAAAAGGACAAAATTATCATTAAGGGGAAGCTCACCGCTCCGAAAAAAATAATTACGTGCAAGAACTGACATTACGCTGCTTTTACTGCATTTGTCTATTTTTGTGGCCATAAAAATACCATGTGATTTTTGACTTAATTGAAGTGCATCTTCTTGGATGTAATATTAAAATAATTTTTTTTTGCTGTATACCAATCTTTCCGACGGTTTTTTAAAGAAACCAAAATTTCGCATTTTTTATATGAACCGTACCCAATACGAAATAAAATCAGTTGCGAATGTTACATTTTTAACGATACTAGCTTCATACAAAGTATGAATCTATTTCGTATCAGAAAACATAGAACCATTACTCATTATGCTCTCTTATCTTCCTACATTGCAGAAATCACCAGAACAAACAGTCATAGAAAAAATCCCACGAGAGTACGATTGCAAACTCGCTAGTAGCAGTCAGGAAACCGCATAATGCACTCCCTAAGCAGCTTCAAATGCAGTAGTTAGTGCCAGCGACCAATAGCTCTCACATTACCGATCCGTAACAACTCCGCCGAACAGAGCACTCCATAGAGTGCAGCAACTGCGGCAAAAAGTAATGCCCCTACTTATGTAAAGTGAAGTAATAGGACCCCATAAAGGTAATAATTATTAAATCATCGATTGACCAGCACCGAACCAGGCCGACCTCGGTGTTCCCGCGAAAATAGCTCACCGGCAGAAAGCGCGAACGGTGTCCGGAAAATCGTGATCCAAGCCGCAGTGCAGCAGCCAGCCAGCCGGGCAAGGTTTAGGGAAATTAATGTGATAAATATAACGGTGCAATTTTTCCCGAAGAGACGACCAAAGGTTACCAGCATTCGCGACGTGCGGTACCGGAGTTCATCCGGGGAAAAGAGAAGAAAAGAAGTGTTCAGAGTGGAGATAGCAAAATTAGTCGTGTGAGTTATGGTTGCAAATTATAAATAATAAATAAATTGAGGTGTAATAAAGTAATAATAGTAAATCTTGCGGAATCGGGTGGCCGCTGGGAGGTTTGAAGTCGACGAGTTGTTTTGAAAACCGACCGACGACCGGCGACTGGCGACGACAACGAAGTGTATGAGTCAAGAAGTTTGAACCCAGTCAGCGTATTCTGTTGTTGTTTATTTGGAACGGAATCATGTACTACTAGCGGCTATTTCCTGCCAAGTTCCAGCGTAGATACTAATAAGCATTCTTCACATCGACCATGGGATCGTTCACAATAAGGTGAGTAAGAGTAATGTTTTGTTAAATTTCTCAAAAATTCGACCGACGACGTTAGCGTTATCATGATGCATGCGGTCAAAGTTCGGCAATTCATCTCGATTCGACAGTTGTAGGTTACCTACGTTGGTTCGTTGGATCTCGCTGGTAGATTGGATTCAAAGAATTCCATTGTTCTGACGGTTCATTCTGCGCCGATCATTCGAGTGGCGGAATGATGAAAGCGAAGCAAAGCGAAGGAAACGACGATGGGAGAAAGCAAACAAACATTTCGATAGGGAGGCCACACACATTCGTGGAATTCCTTGAAGGAAGAGCGTCGTCGTCAGTCAGGTTGCGTTCGCGGCTGTAGGCATATTCGACGTCTTACCTACATGGTCAGCATTGGCTTGGAGGGTGAAACGAGCCCCACTTGACATATATTTACATTTTGCCTATTTAAGCAGAATCAGTAACGTCAAACAAAGTGCTTACATCGAACGTCAGTCATTTGGTTCGTCCGTTCGTGCGTCGATTTGGGGCTTCCCTTCTTGTTGGTTGGTGGCTCTTTTGTTTTCCTACGGGAGGATTCAAGGGTCTCTTACCTTTTCATAGTTCTTCGTTGTTCTATTTGGAGGGGAACAGCGCGGTATCGATTACAGGTAAAGGTGGCCGATGTTAGTATAACGGTTCTTCCGGCTTGAGTAGAAAGAATCGATTTCAGTTATTCTACTGTTATGGATCCGTGAAATAATACTTTGTTGGAGCAACATCTTCTGGCTTATTAGAATCGACTATTTGAAGAATATTTTCTCATGCAAATTAGTGCGAAGCGATTAAAGAAAAATGAGGAAAACGAACCGCCAAATAAGAATCATTCTCCATCACGACAATGCGAGCTCTCACACATTGCGTTGAACAAAATTACTTTTTAAACGTTAAAAACATCGAATTGATGCGTCATCCCCCGTATAGCCCTGATTTAGCCCCCAATGGCTTCTTCTTATTTCACACGTCAAAAATAAATTGCATGGTCAACGGTTTTCGACGCCTGAAGAAGCGGTTGTTGCGTTCAAAACGCATGCTTCAAGTGCTGGAAAAGTGCTTCATTAATTGGTCCGATTGCATGATCTTCAGGGAGAATACTTTGAAAACCAATAAAGCCATTTTTGATAGCAACCCTTTTGTTTTTGTTTATCTCATAACTTATCGAGCACCCCTCGCAGCTCAGCCATCACGACCAAAACGGTCCTTCTCAGGACCACCATAAATTTGCTAAAGAGTATTTTTGGAAATTTGTTAAGGTCCGAGGGGCACGGAAGACAAAGAATCGGTGCGTTGAAGTTAAAATGCAATCAAAAGTACTTAAAGTTATTAATGCGTTTTGAAGTAGTACTGACGGTAATTAAACTTTAGTATTCGTACTTAATGTAATTAAAAGTATTGAAAATGTAATTAACGTACGAAACGTTAATTACGAAATTTCGACTGTAATTAATGGACTTAAAAAGTAGTTAATGTTCTACTTTGTGTAATTTATGTAATTAAAGCAGTAGCTACTAGAATTAATTTAATTACAGCCGTTGCCTGCGTTTGAGTTCAGGGTTATTGCGTGTCCCTAGTCAAGGTCATCAGTCGGATCTCAGTTCCGATATTTCAAATATAACATACCATGTATTTTTAAGACAACATTGGGGGTGCAATTTCAAAAACCAAAGTCGGCCGCATGAAAGTGGTCTGATTTTGATCCAGAGGTAAGTAATTTAATTCATAATACGCCAATCGATAGGAAATTTTTCTACGGATACGTAAAAATTAAGACCTTATTATTTTTCAAAATGTCACTATTGACAATTTCACGAATGTGCAACTGTTGCTATGATAATTAAATTAATCACCGATTGCCTTTCCTTAACACAGATTTCAAAATTGCATTCCATCCGGTCTCACCGAACGGTGTTTATACAATAACCGCGTGTCGTGAGTGGTAGAACACCACCAGTACACAACGAAAGGCTCCTTGCAAGCAGCTAGCTATCAAGGCTGCCCTCAACCGCTGATCGGATTCAGTTGATCGGCGTAAGCCGGTGTGGGCCATCTATGCCAAGCGCATCACTCTCGTTCCAAACAACATACAGCTCGCCAGCCTTATCCGTGTTGAACACCCTGATAGCCCAGCATTATTCAACCATGAAGACAAAAGGGTTCTTTTCAGAACCACCATCACGAAGTAGCTCCCAATAATCAACTACTAGTGTTTTATTAGCACTCAGCCTGCATAAATGCAAACCATTTGCCAAAAATAGTTAAAAGTTTAGTTGAAGATGCTAATTTCCAATAACAGACTAAAGTGGTAATTTTTATACGATAGATGAGGAGATGAAAGTATAGAGTTAACTTTCTTCAACAAGTCAAAGGATGGGAGCTTACCATCAATTACTGTCATTGGTCGAAAGGTATAGTAGCAGCACCTACTCTACCCGGGTCCCCTCTAGATCGTCAAGTCGACGATGACAGGAGCATATACCGTGGTAGAGGTAACAATAGCTGCAATTTCCAAACCTACGGCTGGATGCCTTCCTTCAGATAACAACTTGAGTGCGGTAAAAATCTATAGAACTGTTTCAAACACATCGTCGGTACATGAGCGAGTCGGCGATCATATCTTTTTGCCAGTGGTGGCGATGGGGAATACCCCTCACCATCCCTCTCTAACGGGGGAGTTTGGTAAAGAGAGATGATCAAAACCGATTTGTACCTTCCTAAAAGTTGTCCTTGCTTGCTTTCTACTCTCTATATACAATTTTTACACTGCCGCACTCTAACGGAACTATCAACTCTATACTTTCATCTCCTCATCTATCGTATAAAAATTACCACTTTCGTCTGTTATTTGAAATTAGCATCTTCAACTATGTAAATCGTTGACTTCACGCAGAAGTAATACAAAACATATAGTCAAAGGTTAAAAGTTGTTTATAATCCCTGCTTAACTTTAACTGAAATGGTTATGGACCTTTACATGAACGTTTATGTGATAAAGTTTTAACGTTAGGTACATATTATGTTTTTTTAAAGTGGTCCTTACAAATAATAGGTTGTTAAGAACCATTGTTTTGACGTTGACATCCCACTGAATGGTTGATGCAAACGATGGAAATTAAATGCATTATTTTTTAATTAAATGCAAATTCAATGCGCATTCAGTAAGTGAGACACCTCTAAAGCAAAATAGATAGTTTGTATGATGCTGGAGTACGATCGCTGCCCAAGCCACGACGTCAAGATCATCATAGGAGACCAGGATGAGGAATTCAGACCGACGATTTGAAAGTTCAGCGCCCACCAGCTGACGAACGGGAACGGCCTACGACTCATCGATTTCGCCGCCTCCAAAAACATGGCAATACGTAGCTGTGTTTTTCCAACACATCCACCCTTATCGTAACACCTGGAGATCACCACAGCAGACGAAATCGCAAATCGCCCACGTTCTGATTGAAGGACGGCACTTCTCCGACATTATCGACGTCAGAACCTATCGTGGCGCTAACATCGACTCTGACCGCTACCTGGTGATGGTCAAACTGCGCCCAAAACTTTCCGTCATCAACAATGTATGGTACCGACGCCCACCACTGTACAACCTAGAGCGACTGAAGCAACCGGATGTCACCCTAGCATACGCGCAGAATCTCGAGGCAGCGTTGCCAGAGGAGGGCGAGCTCGATGTGCCCCTCTAGAGGACTGCTGGAGTACAGTAAAAGCAGTCATCACCGACGCAGCCGAGAACACCATCGGGTACGTGGAAAGAATTCGACGGAATGAATGGTTCGACGAGGAGTGCAGAGCGATTTTGGAGGAGAAGAACGCAGCGCGGGCAGTAATGCTGCAGCATGGAACCCGACAGAACGTGGAACGGTCTAAACAGAAGCGGAAACAACAGACCCGCATCTTTCGGGAGAAAAAACACCGCCTGGAAGAAGCAAAGTGCGAGGAAATGGAACTGCTGTGCCGTTCCCAAGAAACACGGAAGTTCTACCAGAAGCTCAATGCATCCCACAACGGCTTCGTGCCGCGAGTCGAAATGTGCAAGGATAAGGACGGGAGCCTCTTGACGGACGGACGTGAGGTGATTGAAAGGTGGAAGCAGCTCTTCGATGCGCACCTGAATGGCGAGGAGAACGTAGGCACGGGAGACCAGCGCAATGGAGGAAACGGAATTGACGGAACTGACCCCACTCCCACGCTGAGGAAAGTTAAGGATGCCATTCAGCAGCTCAAAAACAACAAAGCAGCTGGTAAGGATGGTATGGCAGCCGAACTTATCAAGATGGGCTCAGAAAAAAAGGCCACCTGCCTGCACCGGATGATAGTCAGGATCTGGGAAACAGAACAGCTACCGGAGGAGTGGAAGGAGGGGGTAATCTGCCCCATTCACAAGAAAGGCGACCATTTGGAATGTGAGAATTCAGAGCGATCACCATTTTGAATGCCGCCTACAAAGTGTTATCCCAGATCATCTTCCGTCGTCTATCACCTAAAATGACCGAGTTCGTGGGAAGTTATCAAGCCGGCTTCATTGACGGCCGATCGACAACGGACCAGATCTTCATCGTACGGCAAATCCTCCAGAAATGCCGTGAATACCAGGTCCCAACGCATCATTTGTTCATCGACTTTAAGGCGGCGTACGACAGTATCGACCGCACAGAGCTATGGAAAATCATGGACGAGAACGGCCCCAACAAACAATTCACAGTCACAAATAAGCATACACATTGAATAAATGCTTTATAACAGTGTACAATGCTGAATAAAACGGGTTGTCAAATTATGTGCTCAGAAAACCTCATTGAGATCGATGATGCGTTATTCCGCTGGTTGCTCTGATTTGAATAATATACTTATTAAAATCTATACAAACGATGACTGTCTTCCTGATTCAACACCAGAAGTTTGATCTAATAACATACTGAATAAGTGTAATTTGCACATACATTGACGCTTTAATCCGACTGTTT